ATTGTCATTAATGACCTAAGAAATAGTTGTTTTGTTTCATATATAGTTGGTAATGTTTCAAGCTAGTTTCATGCAAAAATCATGTAATAATATCAGAGTATATTGAATCATACAAACTGTTTCACAATATTTATAATACAATAAATAAATGATTAAAAAACTGCAATTATCAGATACTTACATATTTATTAATAAACCTTGAGAAGGTAAACTAAATAACTGGTTTTAGCTATCATCTGTGTTCACTACTGGCTTAATTTACTAGTATCCCTTCTTTTATATATATAAAAGGATAATAAACGCCTTTTTCAATTAAATCTTTTCTAATCATATCTGTTGTATCTTAGCCAGGAAGCAAACAAATATATAAATTCACTGATGGCATACACTTTTTTTTAGCTAAGGCAGTTCATTTATTGATTTTTTATAGATTATATACACATATCAGTTTATTGACTAATAACTAACTCCTAGTTCAAATTTATTTATTGATTAAACATTTAAAGTGATAGATGTATGTATATATAAAAGTTATTGTTTTTGTTATTAAACAATGGTTTGTGAAAAAATCAGTCTTCTTCAGGAGTCTTGTTTCCATCTTTACGTTATTAACATGCCAGTGGTGTTCTTCGTTACAATGAGTAGTATATTACTAGTGACTCAACAATCATGATAAACAGTAGCATAAATCAATATTTATTACAACTTTTCGATCAAATTTAGACGAAATTTCTTATTTATTATAATGAATCAGTTGTTTGTGACTGATCATAATTCCAGTTTAACAAACCGATAATTCATAACACAAACATATATTTTAAAAACGTTACTGGAAAATAGTTTGGGTTTATCATGTTTGTTAATTCTAACCACATTGCTCTCTGTATGTTAATAGGAGTAAACCGTTATCATTAATGTTCAGATTAGTTTGATACCAGATTCTCATAATGAATACATAAATCACAGTCTAAATTAATATTGACTATTAAATAATACTTTGAAGATTAGTAAATTTCAATTATATAATATTTCTGAATAGTTTAATGATTAAAATTTATCATAATCAGTATAAAGTTGTGAAGATTATCGAGTTTCATTGATATCATGAACTGATCAGTGCTAAGTAATTTCAAAAAACCTGGAAGCGATAGACGGTGGTCTCATCCTAGTATAAGAATCCCCAGCAGTTTGTAACTACGGTCTCACATGCAGGAATCGAACCCAAATCTTTCGGTATCGCGCGCCGACGCTTAATCTTTAGATCATTAAACCGGAATCCAACGGTGACTAGTATTAAGAGTTTTCGTGGGAAGCCGTGACAGGTAAAATTCATCTGTGTGGGGCAGTTACTCACTTAAGAAATGGGAAACGATCTCACAATATCGTGGATCGACTGAAGTTAGACATTAACACCGTTGGATGTCGGCTCAAATGTGTGAAGATTACGCGTTGGCACTGAAGACCTAAGGTTCTATGTTCGATTAATGCATGTGAATCATGGATATTAACCACTAAGATGTGACATCCCAGGATGAATCAGTCATTCAGTGCTTCCAGTTTTTCCATCGTCATCTAACATTGATTAGTTCATGATTTCAATGAAACTTTTTAATATTTGCTAAAGTATTATAATTGAGGAAATATTCATTTGATTAATTGTGTTACTAAGAAACCATTCATAACAAAACGTCGATCATTTAATCAAACACCGATGGACAGATAAAATTTTAAAAATTGGCCAACTAAAGTTTTTTTAATAAATATACATGACTTCATTATATGTTTTATCTTTGTGACTGTCAATAACATTAAATTGTTTTAAAACAAAATACTTTGATGACACTGTGTTTGTATTAGAACACGGATATCATGAATAACAATAAGTCTACGAAATACAATCATTACAACAGTATACTTATTCTATATCATAGAAGAATGAAGTTGTCTTCCTTTTTTTCTCTCTCTCGCAAATACTATAGAAAAGGTTAACCGTTCATTTCTAAGACTTTTTCTGTTTTTTCTCTTTTTTTTCATCATTTCTAAGATTATTTTCTTTCTCTTTTTAGTTAAGTATAATCATTACATTTATCTATTATTCTGGTATTTAATTAAAATAGTATATTTTAAACAACAGTTGATTAAAATAAAAAAATACACTTTTGGCGGGACCATAATTTATGGACGAACCAATCAGGTTTAAGATACCAGGTCTTGAATTTTGGCTCGGAATTCATTCACTCATACGGCTAAATTAGTCCTAGCATTATAGCTGATGTCAGTTCGTGATGGAAACCCTAAATCTGATTCCTAACCCCAACCATCAACTGTAAATCATCATCCTTATTCTTTAAACTGCTTTATAACTCTCATTTAGCCCTAGTAAGTAGGTAGACACTCTCAAGGTCACTTTAGCGTCGCCCAAATGTCCATAAATTATAGTTTCACCCATTTTTTGAGAAAAAAATTTAAGATAGTAAATATAATTAATATTTTCTTAAGTATTTGACATATACTCAATCAATACTGAATTATTAAACAAAAAAATCAACAAACTGAACTCTGATTTATAAACAGAGATGGATGGCGGCTAGTAGTAGAATCCAGGACTCTCATTTGATCCTATTTGGGACTCGTCAGCTGGATGTACTTGCATCCCAAATTTGATGTTCACTCTGGAATTCGAATACAGTGCCGTTCGCTTCAAACGTCATCACGTTATCCATTAGGCTACTGAGTCCAGATAGCCACTAGTTTGTGTAGTGCGAGGGGATTTTAATTCGTTTCGCATTGTTTGTTTAAATCTTCCGACTGATATTTAGAACTGTAACTGATCGGTCTTTTATTGCCACATGTACATTCTGTGCGGAATGCCTTGATATTACGTTAATTCACAAACATTGTAAGCAATAATGGATAGTGGCGAACAATGGAATCCTTGGTGCACGTTTCGTCTTATTTGGGACTCATCAGTTGGATATACCATCCATCTCTGCTTATAATACCTATTATAAACTTTTTTTGCTTGTATGAAAGCACAAAATGCACACATGCCAATAAGAGACTGATCAGTTGCAGTCCTAAAAATCAATGAAAAGATTCAAACAAACAATACAAAAATGGATGGAACTCTGATTTGTTGTTGTTGTTTTTTCATTTACACCTACTTAGCAGTAAAGTATATATTTGTATATAATGATCACTTTTATGAATGTTGTTTTTTATTGAAATTTTGTATAAACTGAAATAAATTTATTTTAAAATAATTGACATTTTATCACTTGACATATTGTTGTAAGTTAAGACAAAAACAATACACAGATATATTTCATACCAGTTGAATATGTTTTAGTAAACGGATTACAAAGTGTAATGATTTAAGTGTTTACACTACTTAGTGTACGATTTTTTTTTCTTTTTAATGACTGAAATTAAATTTCTGTATAGTTGAATAACGAAATGAGAAACAATTTTGTTGAATAATTTTGGTTGTAACTGACCCGACTATCTATGATCATCTACATTATGATGTGTCATTTTACAAATGAATTTTTCTACAATTAACAAGTGAAATAAATTATATAGTACTGATAGAGAGAACTGAGTCGAAAATATGGTTTTACTGAACATAATTATGAGTACTTAAGGAGATGTCACTTATCTTTTGATTATATTATTTGGTGGCCTACTAACTTAAGTACTTACACCTGTTATCCTTTGTCGTGGAACATATGCCGTCCACCAGGATTCTTCATCGAACTCGGTTCTCGGCTCTCCTTTCTAGTTGTTTCCAGATGCTATTCATTCTTTTGATGTCTGCTTTTAATTCACGACGCAATGTGTTCCTTAGTCTTCCTCTTTTTTCCCTTTCAGGATTCCAAGTTAGGGCTTGCTTCGTAATGTAATCTGATGATTTCCTTAGAATATGTCCTGTCCACCTTCAACGACTTCTAATTTCCTCTTCTTTGGAAGTTGTTTTGTTCTGCCACACAGTAGGTTGCTGCTGATCGTATCCAACCAACAAATATTGAATATCACTGGTTGAAACCATGAATCCATTAAAGCTAGACCATCATGGAAAACCTGGAAGCACTGGACGGCCGTTTCGTCCTAGTATGAGACTCCTCAGCAGTGCGCATCCACGATCTCGCTCCTTGCGAGATTCAAAACCAGGACCTATCAGTCTCGCGCCAGGCGCTTAACCAACTAGACCACTGGGTACGCACTGCTGAGGAGTCCCATACTAGGACGAAACGGCCATCCAGTGCTTCCAGGTTTTCCATGGTGGTCTAGCTTCAATGGATTCATGATTTCAACCAGTTATATTTCTAAAATCTCCACACAATCCCTTCTGAAAATATTGAATATTTTGTATAGAAAATTGCTTATAAATATCTATAATTTCTTGATGATGGTTGTGGTAGTTCTCGAAGTTTCAGCTCCATACAATAGAACCGTCTTGACGTTCATATTGAAGATTTTGACTTTAATGTTTGCTGACAGTTGTTTTAAGTTCCATATGTTCTTCAGTTATAAGAAGAATACTCTTGCTTTGTCAATTCTTGCCATTACATCTGCATCAGATCCTTTCTGCTTATCGATAATGCTCCCTAGATACGTTAAAGCTACCACCTCTTCCAGATTTTCTCCATCAGGTGTGACTGTGTTGGTGTTCTATGTGTTGAGAATCTTGTTTTTTCCATTGTGTATGTTGACGCGTACTGTCGGAAAGGCTGCTGCTTTTTGATGGCCCACGTCAATCTAATACAACTTTATTAAAATGGTTTAATTCCGAAATGTACTTTTTTAAATGTTATTTTACTGTTTATTAAAGATATTGTATCAACTACAAAATATATCCTGACAAGTGTAATACCTAACTAGTGTAATATTATTTGCGGTCGGTTTTGTAAATAATTTTCAAATGATACTTCACTTTTTTTCTTTCAGAAATATTAAATTATTATTATCATCAGTATTTTTTGTTTATTAATTGTACCTAGGTATGTTTTTCACGTCATGATTTATCAGCTCATAATGCCGCCACTCATAAACAAGATCCTCGACCATATAGATGTGAACAATGTGGTAGACAATTTTCAACATGTGCCTATCTATCACAACATAGACGTATTCATACCGGTGTTAAACCGTACGCATGTCGTTATTGTGATCGTCGTTTCACTCAATTAAGTCATGTACAACAACATGAAAGAATACATACAGGTGAAAAACCATATCGGTAAGTAGTTTTTGATGTTTTTCGCCTTTTTATGCTTTTTTTACTTTCTTTAAAGTTTGCAAAATGTCTGTTGATTATAAGGATCCTATAAATTATGTATATTTTATGTATGAAAGACAATTGATTAATTTAAACAATTTCACATGTTTCATTTATTAGTTTAGAACTAAAACATTAGTGTTAATATCGATATACATCAATCTAATTTGACATTTGGTGCCAGATAAAAATTTTTGGTTTTTAATAATTGTTTGAGTGATACTACTGTTGATTCATATCCATGACATCTTAAGATTTCAAACTGAGAATATAAAGTGAATTTATTTCATTTCTTCTTTTCTCTCTCTCTATCTCCCTGTTTGTGTCTGTCTATGATCATACTACTGTCTTTTTGGACCCATTGAAATTTAGTGAAAACATTAAATAAATGATATCAAGTCATAGTTACAATGATCATTGAGTAGTAACTAAAATGCTATATTCTTCTGGTTGTTTATTGTTGATGGAATTTTATTTGTCTAACTACCATTTCTTAACTAGTTCAAGTGATTCTCAAGATTGAACTGTGAACCTGGTTTTGAATCAGGACATTAATCATAAAGTAAGCATCATTTCCTTCGAGATTCTATATAAGGCATTTGTTCTATTGAAAACTAGTACAAAAACTGAGATGAGACTAAAGTTTTCAATCAAGTTTTATTCATGCTGCTTATTCAATCGATCAAATTATCTTTGAAAGATAATTTCAATGCCATGAATGCATAACATGTAATTACATTTCAGATGGTTGAAAATAAGAAGGTATAAAACTATAACAATCGCCTTATATCTCCATAAAGTGAATGCGATATCAAGTATGTCAAACTGATGTCGGCCATATTGCAAGTGGGTGGATTGAATTCATTCACTATTTAAAAGAGTACACAACTGGATTTAAGCGTCAACTATCTAATACTATCTGTCACCATATAACATTTATGGAAAGTATGCTACACAACGAAAATGAACAAGTTTGTTCATGGAACAAGCTATGAATGTGTAGCTTCATGTAATACATGTTGAAAAGAATATTAAGCTCTGACAGAATTGTGCACCATACTTGGTTACTTTGAAAATTAAATTTCCTATAAAGAGCTATCTCATCATATATTTTTACTACTTAACTTAAAACTGGGTTTTTTCTAACTAAATAAATTAAGTCAACTTCTTATTACAACAATTTTTTATGAATAATCAATAACTGTTAATCGAGATCATAAATAATATAGTTTATTAATTAATTTCTTTAAGCGAACTCAATCAAAGTACATAAAGAGTACGATCAAACTGGTGAGGGGATATATTCCAACTTTTGGGTATGTTTGTGATATGAAAGCAAAATAGAGACACATTTCTCGTGTTGTATCGAGGCTCAAATAATTCTATTGTTGGATGATCAAGTTTGAGTGGTGACGACTTCACTTAGATTGTATGTAGGACCAGTGATTTTTTCATTAATCAAGTGACACGCTGCTGTTGAAATAACAACCAAGATGAACGCTTAACGATGACTAGTAGTCTTGAATTTAGTTGGCCTATGCTCATTCACTCGTTAGCCAGAATAGGATACAACACACAGTCGTTAAATAACTTTGATTTGTATAGGTCCAATTGTATGACCCAAATGACAACAACATAGAGTAAATTCTTAACGATACATCAACAGAAATAACTACACCATAAGTGGAAGACGACCAAGTGATAAGTTCGTAATTATCAAACAACCTTTTGAGAAAAGTAAAACATACAACAATAGTTTGGACGTCGAACGAAAACATGCAAACAGGGCAGTAAAACGATACAATAATCCAAGTAATTAGAATTATGCAATAAAAATAAACTGACAATTTGATAGAAAAGTTCTAGAAGTTCATCTTTGCTCAATATTTACCCCGTCATAGTAAACAGCTGTTTATTGTAATTAATCTAATGTGAAGATGTTGATGGCATTTGACAGTAATCCCTAAATATTATATTTTCGAGCTATTTCTCTGTGGTAAGCACTAAATTTCTACGAATTTGGAGAATATAATGCTTTCTATGTGGCTTTGATCTGCGTAATAGGATGTTAACTTCAAAGGCGTTGGTATTAAGCTACTTCTGTTGAAACTATCATCCCCCAAGACTGAGATTTTCACAGTGGTTGATCACTGAGCAAAAAGAGTCAGAAAGAAAATTCTAAGATTGACTGAAAGAAAACTCGTTAGCGTATACTGTTAAGCCATTAGTTATTTGAAGATTTTAAAGTAACTTTATTTTAATGTTTGTTTAAAATGTTGGTAAACAAATTATATGGAAGATGATATTATTAAATCAACTAACTTTAGTTGGTGCATGATATCAATGTAATCAAATAATCTCCACAACGTGATACTGGTAATCATGTGCTCACTATTGACCAGCTTCGGAAGGAAATTCTTAAGGTTATAGTGAGAAGACGTTACTAGAGGAGTTCAGCCGTATCGATTAAGAGACAGTTACCCACTAAATATAAGGAAGATTATTGAGCATTATCATGGATTGATTTAAGTTAGATATTAACATCGTTGGATGCCGGCTCAGTGATCTAGAGGTTAATCTTTGATATACGATACCGAAAGTCCTGGGTTCAATTCCTTTTTTTGAATGGATCGTCGATGCTGTTCACTGAGAAATCTCATACCATGACAAATCGGTCGTTCAGTGCTTTCACGTTTTCTATGTTTATCTAAAATTGATTGATTCACGATCTCAATGAAACTTTGGTGTACGCTGCATATGTCTGTCGACATAAGTGGCATGTAGCATCAATCGGAAGAGGAAAACATGGCAGCAGAAGGCTTAGAAGATCGAGTTGATGATGAGGATAGAAGAAAAAATAGAAATAAATTATGAATTGGAATAATCATACAGAATGTGAAGGACAAATGATAGAAATTTGAAAAAGAAGTATACAGTGTATGGTTCTCATATATTACCAAGATATATATACAGTGACTGTCCCAACTTGTGTTTTCGTTCATCAGAAAACTACAATGTATCTGTTCAAAATAAAGTTGTCAATAATTTCTTTACTAATACATTTATAAACTGTAAAACTTGATAAATCTCAGGAAATTTTAGGAAGCTGTTGTTTACTTATGTTGGTTAGATTTTCTTTATTCCTATTTCTATAATACACATCGTTTTTATTCGTTAACGAACGACTAACTACAATCATTTTTACAATGATTTACAAATTGAACATGTTTACAAATCGTTTTGTTTACTTAAAACATTCAAGATATTTAAATTTTTGATGAAAATTTATAACAACGTATTTTTTATCATTACAGATCATTATAATGGTAGATTGATTATTAACAATAATCTTTTTGTTAAAATAATATAACCATAGACAAAGTGGAGATTATTATTATTATTTTCAGCTTTAAATATTGAATACGACTATTATGTACACACATAATGGGAAAATCATTAGATTAGTTACTATGTACATGGACTCATGCTTACACTGAATATCTTTTCAATACAATTATTAATAGTATTATTCATTTAATCTACAAATTTCACTAAGTTTCAATTAGTTCTTTTTTTCTTATTCCATATACTGGTATTCATTGTCTATATTCAGTGATTGATAAGAATCCAATGTTAATCTTTTCACATCGTATATTTTATATTCTGTTGGTTTGTTTTTTTTCAGTTTGGTAATTTGTGCATTTTGTCCATTTGTAGTATTTTTGTCAAGATATTTTTTATTTTAATTGTCCTCCTCCCTTGCCCTCTCTCATCATCGGTCAAATGGTTTGTTACTCTTGTGTGTCAACCCATGGACTTACTCTATATTTCAGTTTTATTAACGAATTCATCCGATAGTAAATGGCAGACCATGTTAGAGTTTAATTATGTGTCTATGAGTAGATTTAGATATATGAATGTTTGGATGATTTTCCAAGGTAAATGAATAAAGACAATTTTACCGAAGATACATATGAGAGCGAGACAGAAATAAGGATACTGAAGATGATATTGTTAAATTGGTCAGTATAAGTAAAGAAATATGTTAGACAATAGGCAACATGGATAAAAGTAAAAGATTCAAGGGGGTGAGGAATATGTTCACATCTCTATGGTATATACACGGGGGGGGTATTGATAAATAATAATATCTTGAAAATGTTATAGAAAAAAAGATACGACATTACTACCTATATATATGACTAGACGGGGGCAATCTGCCGAGCTCTATAATAATCATTTATTTCCAAAGTACTTTAACGTTGGTCTTTGGTATTGTGTACCTATCTGCATGATTATTGTATTTATCCATTAAACTGAAATGCGTGCGTACACATAAACACAAGTGCACATCAAATGAATACAGACAGACCTATAAATCAATATATATATATATATATATATATATATATATATATATATATATTATATGCATAGGCATGGCGATAAAAATGGTCTAAATCTAGGTCAGTTCTGGTTTCCGGACATGTGTGTTCAGCTATTGTACCCCATCTGAAACACTAACCCCTGTATGTGTTATAAAGATAGAAAAATATACAGAATCCGTCTATCATCCCCTCAGGTTTTATTGTATGATTATGTCTCCCCTTTTTTAATTTTTTACTAGCTGTAAAAAGGACTTCATAGGTCCAGGGAAGTATAAAAACTAAACATTTTCTCTAAATTCATAAAAATATAAATTACAAACGCTTTGTTTAATTTGACGTTTCTTTTGTGTTTAGTCAAATATTAAAGCAAAAAATATAAGGGAGGAGACATAGAAGAATTCTGTTGTCTTAATACATTCCAGTCCCTGGGTTAATCAGAATCATTACTCTTCAGGATAGGCAAGAGTTTAATAGAATTCGCGATTTATTTCGACTAAATAGTTGTATGTTGTTACTCCATATCAGCCTAATTTTTCAAAATATCCTTTGTTGACCGATAATAATTATGTTAAATCATTTCAATGTATATGACTGGTTGAAACATGTAATAACTCATTAAATAGAGAATCACATAAGAAAATGATCAAGTTGACAGAATTAAGATATCAGTATAGAATTGTGAAGATTGAGTTTTATTAGAGATCATAAACTGATCAGTGTTAGACCATAATTGAAAAACTTAGCATTTGATGGTCTTCTCATTCTAATATAGGATTCATCAGTTGTGCGCATCCACGATCCAGGTTTTCAGTCGTGATCTAACATTGATCAGTTCATGATCTCAATTTGATTTGAGATAATCCAACATGTACATGTTAAAAATTTAAATAGTTTAGTCATTCGACTGTTCAATAATTACAATGACACAGGTTCAAACTTCAAAATAACTTATCCTCATTTTCAACAGTGGAGTAGTAGTAAGAGTAGTAGTATTATACTAACATTTAGTTAAATAAGATCAGTTGAAAATTAGCTAAACAAATTTCCGGTTGATTGGTGAGTTGTATTAGTTAATTAAATTATTTAGATAGGTGTATTAAAAAAAGGACTACAATAAACTTCTAGAAAAACATAAGATCTACTATTGTTGAATAGATTTTATTGATTAACTGAATGAAGGTAGTATATCTTATCAATATCAGACGATCATCATTGAGTTAAAAGAATTGGAATGTAAACGAATAACAGTTTAACCTAAGTGTTTTCCACCTTTTTTATGATAAAATGAATTGGCTAAAAAAATATGATGAATATAATTAGTTTAATAATAATGATAATTAGCTGGCCATGGTAGTGAATTGAATATGAGAGAATAATTCAGGTAATTTAATATAAATGTAGCTAGTTATAATAGATAATTGCCACTTATATTTATTTTTAATCTTAAACCTAAGAAAGCGATACTCACAGTTATGACTCAGTGATACATTTACAGATATGAAAATTTAAGCACATAACTTTCATTATATACTGATATTTAATAAATAGTTAGGGTTTCGGTTTTAAATTGTATAAGTCACACTAGGTCGTTCTTTACCATGGATATTAACATAATCAGCTTGTGTTTTATAATTTGAAGTCAATATTTAGATCTGTGATCACGTGGTCTCAAACATCTTGTCATTTGTGATTCATTAGTAGGATAATCATTTAAGGTGATCAAATCCATTTTTGTACAGAAGTAAAGTAGTTAAGTTCAGATCATTTAGGCATCTTATGTATCACGTTTAGTATTCAATTTATTATTAAATATATTTTTGTTGTTTCTCTTTAGTTCAAGATTACTTTAATAGTGATAATTTTCATAAATTCATTATGATTTAAAGCCTAAACCATAAACATGACTCTAAATGATCACGACCAATTCAACCACTGAAAAAAAACAGAAAATAGGATGTTCAATAGTTTACGATAATGACAAAGATAATAAGATTTAGGATTTAGGGTTAGAGTTAAAATTTAATTTACATACAGACTAATTATGAAAACTTAAACTTCATAATAAATCATAATGGTGAATGGTAAACATTAATTGAGGGTAATCGTGTTTCCTAAGCTCTACATTCCCTATAATTCAGTTTTACTCATAATTTTTTTTAAACGATATCAGTTTTCATAAATCTTTAAGAGTATAGGACCAAACAATTATTTGAAATTGAATAAATAGAATATATAACGATCTTTCTTGTTCGCTTTTTTTATTAAAAGTTAGAATGAAACCTATTAACCAGTGCTACCTGATATTTTCCTTAACTGAATTTTTCAATTAATAACACTCCTCTCTCTCGGTGATCATCAAATATAACTTTATAATTTGTCAACATTAAAACAGGATATTCCTAGAGATCGTTTTGATGGATGGTTCACATCCATAGGTTTGGTTTAGTTAAGCAACCAAAGAGACAGTTTGAAGTAATGTGAACTATTTTCAAATTGAATAATTTCTACTAGTCTTTCTATCGTAATTATGATCGTGTGAAAAATTGAAAGATATGAACTGAATTGAGTTAGTTCAACCATGTCCAAAGGATGAAATAGATATTATCGATATTATTATTCATATAGTGTCTCACAAATTAATCAATGTCAGAAATGTTGTAAACTATTTGAATGTCAACTGTGGTGTGTGCTACTGATGTCGACAGATATAAGTAGTATGTGTCACTAATTAAAAGTGGAATGCCTGGCAGCAGAAGGTTATGAAGATCGCAGAGAATATGCTGAGAACAGTAAGTGGTTGGTATGGAATTGAAGGAATAATGAAGTCTGAGACAATTGATGAGTATTTTGCAAATTTAAGTATTTACTGTATGGTTCTCAGATTTTAATAAGATTCTGTAATTTTGTATTCCAATACATTTGGTTATCTCTGCCCGTGATCTTATTCACTATAGTACTAATCTGATAAAAATAATATCCTCTTCCAAAAATAGCTAAACCTGAAGGTCCCAAGTTTCAATAATTGATTGATAGTTTTATGGTTCAGTCTGTTGAATGCTAATTGTTCATAAACTCGTAGAACAAAAATAGATTTTGAGGATTCAATTAGTGAAATCAGTCAATATAATAAAGTACATCATGTTTATGTTTTATTTTTTACATATTCCAACAAGTATAATTATTACATTTGTCATTATATACATCTAATCTTACAATAGTGCCCGTGGTGTCGAGTCACCTAGACTGGCGGCCACATTGCAACATGATCGATAGCATTCGATCTGCACTAATAATAAGGACTAGACACGCATGACATTGGTCACCCAGTGATCAATCAATTGTGACTAGTACACCATTGTCAAATAATTTCAATGAGAGAGAGAGAGAGAGAAAGAAAGAAATACAAAGAATATCCTAATTTCATCAACAACAAAAAAAACTTGAATTTGCTGCTACAGTAAATCATGATAAGCATAATTCAAAGAATACATATGAGGACGGTAGGTGTAGATTTATTTAACACAACAAATTCATGAAGATGATATTTTAGATACACTTATTTTCATTACAATTGGATTCACAGTGTAGACTATCAGTTAGATTTGTCTAAATTAAATCTCATGGTACTTGATATGAAATTAATTGATAACTTAATTTACTTCATCCTATAATTAAAAAAGGTATAATAAACAATTATAACTCATTCACTTCGATTTATAATTACACCTTCTTAAAATGTGATCACATGTCAATGTCGACTGGGGAAAAAAAGAAACATTTCTTAGATCATTTACACCAATAATGTCCTTATGATCAAGTTTGTCATATTGTTATACACAGTCAAAATATAATGATTTAATTTCAAGTGTTATATATATTTTACTTTTATTATTTACGTGATTACATCATTCTTCCCTATATATCTACATCTATATCTTTTCTTCTTTTTAATGTATATATATTTAGTTGTACAACATGTATGAAAAGTTTTACACAAATGTCTAATTTACAATCACATCAACGTCAACATATGAAAGGTAAACCATATCGATGCGAACAATGCTTCATGTCATTCGATACAAAAGAAGAATTGGATGTACACGTACAAGCAAAGCATTCGGGTAACCGATATGCGAAGGTGAGTAAAAAAGTGCGTAAAAAAACAAACAATTAAAATTTATTAACACAAAATAGTCAAAGAATTATTGTCACATTTTTATTTAAATATTAATATTGTTTCCTCGTTTCGTTGTTATTTGTCTCTCGGTTCAATTTTGTTTGTTTGTTTGTTCATCGTTTTTTGTTTTATTTTTTGAAAAACAAGGTGGATAAATCAAGATGTCAGGTAACAATCATTGAAAACATATAAGCATTCATTCAAATCACATGCGGAAAAATTCTATACTAGGAAAGAATTATCGCGTAAATAATAATCATGTTCAATGACTAGCATCTTAGTTGTACAATATTCGAAGACTAGGAAACAGTGAATAACTGCTTAGCCGTTTCATCTTAGTGTTGAAATCCCAAGCGGTATACGCTCACGATTCCATTGGGACTTAAACCGAGCGCTTTCAAGTCTCATGAGGAGCCTTTAATCTGCTGACCAGCATCCAGCAGTTTACGTGGTCAGTCCCTATTGGTTTTTGGATACATATTGCTATATTAGTGTTATCTGATTTTCAATAATTACTTAACCAGGAACGTCACTTTATGGTTCATATAATGAAATCCAACAATCTTCATGAACTCCCTATATCGTAGTGAATATCATATATATATATATATATATATATATATATATATATATATATATATATATATACTGAAATCAAAGTGAGTGACGATTGATTAGAATTTGCTGCCTACTAACTGAATATCGAGTGTTATTATGTCTTGTTTTATCACAGAGAGAGAGAGAGAGATCAGAAGTAAGTTGAGTGCGAAGTGTATGACTTATATTTCACAAGAATAATAATGATTGTCAATCGTTTGAAAGATATCAAAACCATATTCTCAACACAACTAAAAGATTTCTCACTAATCGGACTCGTTACTTCCGATGATCAGCGTTCAACATAGAGTTATCTTTTCCTAAATGTTCGATGAAAAGGAATTAATGGGTGAGAATTTAACAAGTAGAAAATGTACAGGATATATATGAAGATACTCAATATATCACAAAAATTAGTTCAAGGTTGTTTTAAAAAGCATGTAACTTTGTGAAGACGAAAAGGAAAAAAATAAATTCCGTATTGACACAATACACTAGAAACTGAAACAAGAAATCATTACCAATATTTGCATCACTGTAGATAAAATCTAACATTGTTTTAAAAACAGAATCATTAGAAGAAAATGTATTGCACGCGATTACGTCAAAATATATTGGTGGTGGTGGTGGTGGTGGGATTATTAAGTGATTGGGGTGGGTAAGTAAGTGGTCAGTAAAAACATAAATCAAATGTATTAACTTCTTTTCTATGGATATGAAAATTTTCTTCGTTTATCCTACTCTTGTTTTAATGCTCCTTTATTTCTTTTTACCATGTTGTTTGAACAACTGCAAGTCGTTAGGATGAAACACATAGTCTAGGGACATATGTAAGTCAATTACAATCTAGGAAAATAACTATTAGGTCTTTTGCACAAAATATGAAAATTCAAATGATTTCTCTTGTTTAGATCATGCAAAATAAACAACCGGAATATCTTTATGTAGTGTTCATAACATTTAAACTGATAAATAGAAATTATTTTATACTACCATGGAGATAAACGATAATGTTTAACGTGTTAATCACTCAACTGTTTTATTCAAACTGCGTATAACAGGCTGATGTGTTGGTGAGAATAAGCATATTTTCTTGTTTGGTTATCTCAGGCTTATGATACCGAACCGTAGGACAGGAAAGCATTGTATTAATCAAGTCCAAGTATTGATTAGCTTGGTAGATTACTTACATAGTTTTAGTGACCTTTAACTGACCAATGACACTTTAAACGTGAGATAACCGAGAGCAATACCAAGTTGACTATTGGTCCAGAATATAGTTTTCTACTCTTGCTCGCCCGATATCCAGAGTGGAGAACAATTTATCAATCAAACAACTTCTAATTATACAGTTAGAATTTATGAATCATTCATACAGTAGTATAGAGCGAAAACCTGATCACACCTCAACAGAATTAAGAAATTGTAATATTGGCATAAATACGCCATAGGTGAAAGAGTATTAAGTGGTAAATCCGTAATAGATCAACAATAATTTGGGAAGCGTAAAACACACGACAATTATTTATGCGTCAAACAAAAGCTTGCAGGTAGAGAAATACATGAGCACAGTAGTTTAAGTATTTAATAGTTGTTCAACAAAAAATTTGAACAATAACTTCAAATAAGGACCGCTAAAAAAGTTTACCTTTACTTAATATCTCTCTCGACGTAACATGGACGAATCAACTCTATATCTTAATCTTTATTTTGAACTCTTAATCCCAAACTAAACTCTAATTTGGTAGCATTAGACTTTATGAATAAACTAATTAGGTTAATGATAGGATTACTTGGATTTTTCATGTGGAATTCATGTGTATATAAAGCTGCCAAGGATTTTTGTGTTAGCAGATGATGTCGGTTTGTGATGAAAACACTAACTTTGAACTCTTTTATCCCTAGTCCTAAATACCTAACTCTAACCAAAGAAAAGTTAGAGATTTAAGAATCATTTTTCGTTCTGTTAAGGTTTTAAGATAACGGATAATCCGTGTTCTGACACGTGAGTTTATATTTCATAGTTTTTTAACTCACAAACAGAGTGACCTGTTGAGGACTTTAGTCGATGAGAATTCTTCGTGTTTAAGATCGCCTATATACTATACTTCTGACGTCTTGAGTGTTGTAGCGCAGTAGTGATTGAAAATGTCTGTTTTTATGCTCCAAGAGAACCGGTTTGAAGTTGGTTTTATTAAATACTGTGAGATTTATGAAAAAAGAGTTGCAATATATTAGCCTTCAAACATTAGATTTCTCTATGATAAGTAAACATATACAAATTACTATTTGTAGAATTCATGCTTCAATTGATAATTTGATCGCCAAGTTATTCATAAATCTTATTTAAAATTACGTTGTAATTATAAAAAACAAGTTAAATGCTCACAGTTGATGAATATTAAATTGCGGTGTTTCTGTGTTTCGTTCGGACCACCAAAATTTTAACCAAGATGAAAAATAAATTCTTTAATTAAATGAATGTGAAAAGGACACAAGACTGTTATATTTGTGGATTATAATGTTCAACAAAAGTAAAAGTTTTTAATTTCAGCCAAGTTTTAAATATACACATCAGAAAACAAAAGAAGAAAAGAGAGAGATGAGAGCTAACCAGAACTAACAGTACATGGAATAGCACTCCTTAAATGAAGTGGTCATGAAGATGATAAGATGGAACTTAAGTTACTTAATTATAAAAAAGTAGTTTGAATGTAACACTAAACAAACGATTAGTATTTCTACGAATATTCGTCAAGATTAGAATGAATAGTTTAACAGAAATTGAGCACGAAGTATAGAGAAGTCATTATGTGTAAAAATCATAATTGGAATAATCTCAGCGATTGAGATTTAAATAATTCTAACGTTTCGTTCAGCTAACCCTGAAGAAGTCCAGGCACATTTGCTGGACGAAACGTTGGAATTATTTAAATTTCAATCGCTGAGATTATTTCAAATATAATTTTCACATATAATGAAAATGACATGTAGATTATGTTTAAATTTTTTAGACGGATTTAACACATGGTAACACTTTACAGTACAATACTTTTTAGATAGAGCAGCTATGGAATTCTAAACTCAGATTTGAATGAATGACAAATGTGATGTGTTGTTGTAGATAACCTTAAGCAAGAAGTAGGCCTTAATTATAGTTTTATCATTCATTAACAAGGGACATAGCTGGAATCTAAGCAGAACAAATGTTTTACCACAGATTTAAATTCATTATGTAACATCAATTAGTTGAGTATTTCATCACAGATGTAAGTTGGTCAATACTAACAGTTAGAAATTATGATACAGGTAATCGACTGGTTACAACTGACAAGCCTTGAAAATACCACTAAATTTGATGTCTGGTATTTCTCTTAATGTAATCACTAATTATCAAGATATTTCTTCCACTCAATAATGTGATATTGTAGTTAAATTTATAATGCCGACATATGTAGAAGATACAACTAATAAAATGAATAGTAAGGGGTTAAATTACACCTTGTGATAAACAAAGGTAATTTTAACAAATATTGTGTTTTTTTACACTGAATCGGAATTTTTGTGCGATTTTATGTCAACATTTCTAGTATGATTTTAAATAGCCTGTTAAATAATAGTAATCATAACCATTCAGTGGTATAGTCCCATCCTGTGAAGATCCTAGACTCAGGTTCGAGCCTCATAAGGAATATCAGTTCTTTTAAGAATACAAGCACGCTATGCTGATTGAAGTGTTCTAACTAGCTCAAGACCTAGTCTAGGGTGTCTTACTGACTATCTTCAACTATCGAGCTCATTGATAAGCCTTTTATTTGCTCTCCTGGTTAAGGCCTTTTCAGTACTTTAAATCAATGTTTGGAGATGTTGAGTTGCATGGTGCGAACTATGTCACAGTTATTGTCATCTGTTCACCATCTTTTTCGTACAAATCTTAAATGTGTAGTTTCATTTCGAATTTTGCATTTTTTAAAAATTTTGCGTACCACTTAAGATTGTATTCCTTATGTTTAAATTTCCATTTCAGTTGAAATTAAAATTCTGTCTATTAATTTATATCTTGGTTATCACCACATTTTTGTTTGACTGATAAGAATTATAACAGATCCATGGCCTTTCTACGCATTGATGATAATTGATTAAGTAATAAATGAAATTGAGACATTATATCATTCAAAATAATAATTGGCACAATACGATCAATGATATGAAAAAGATAAAAATATATTTTTTTAAACAAAGATAAATAGAGACCATATACTACTTATTTGTCAATAATTCAGTTGGTGAAATCTAAAATACTTGTCTTTGAGAATGTCTAATTTGGAGTTGATGGCAACCAACAGAGTTCTACACACAATAAATACTTAGTAATTAAATAGGTAATATATTGTTTCATGTATGCACACCTACATAATGATGATAATCAGAATGATAAACGTTATAAAATACATTGCATTAGTCTATGAACGTGGGAAAACACTGTTCATCAGAACTAAGGCTGGTGTTGAGTCTGTCGAGGCGTCCGAATCATCCAATTAAGATATGCGCAAAGTTGAAATTCAAAAAGCAAGGATTTGTCTAAAATAGCTGTTCAATTAGTGACAAACCTCAATTTGTGAGGTCACTGTGTCGTTTACCGCATCCTTTTATCTGGAATGAAAAGGCTTCGTAGTGCAAAAATGACAGCCTTTGGCTCTATTTAAACTTGATAACTGTTTATCAACAAGTAAAAATCGAACTAAGAGCAAGTAATATGGAGACTGTTGCGTTTAAACAATAGTTAAACGATTGCACAAAATTGAGAATAACTGCTACAGTGGTTGAGATAAAGTAATTATAGTGATAATTCTAATAAATATTTTAAGTATATGTAAATATTTCAAAATATTACACGACAAACTTGCGTTTCAGCATACGCCTAGAAATAGCTAGGAATACAACTATTTACTGAACATTAATAAGTAGTATAAAACAATACACAAAAGAGTCGAAGGGAAATGAATAAGGACAGATAGCGTAAAACAGACTTACAAGATGGTTTAGATAGATATTTATAACACGTTTTATTTGATATATATAAGGTCATTATCGATGTGAAACCTTGCACAAGTGTGCATTTATTTAATTTGCGACACTTTACATTGACATAGCTAAACAAGTGGTTTGGGATGGGAAATGACTCAGAAATTAATGGAAATGTATGAGAAATGGTTCAAAAGAATCAAATGTGATCAGAAATTGAAGAGTTAAGCATTGTACCAGCTTGTATTTGTAGAACATAGAGAACCATATCATTTTTTCTGAATTTTCGCTAATATTGCTTAGGTCGTCTGAACTGATGACGCGTTGTCTTCATCTGACCTTTTGAAGATGTACAGTCTGTTTTTATTTTGGACAATAATTTGTAACAAAGTAATGCTTGAGAGGGATTTCTATATTCCCTGAGTGTAATAGTTTGCTTCAAGACTGGTCTATGCTTATCCGTGTTAGGACATGCTGATCATTTTTCACTAATCTTAGAATTTTCGGCAGTTATTTTGGGCTGAGGGACGACAATATCCAGACACAGAAACAAAAATCCCTCTTCATTTTTACCGTCTTGTAACAAGTATGGAAGGTTTATGTGACCATCAAGTGGTGAGTATTTTGAACAATGAAACAATTGAAGTCGAAGACTAAAAGTTTGCACGGACTGTTTTTGAGGCAACCTATTTTGTGAACAATACTGACACTAGTTGTAAATTCATATGCAATAATGAAAAACAGATCAATGATGTTGTAAACCTTTGTTAAAATAGGGGGTAGAGACATATAATACATTATTCATTACCATCTACCCTGATTTTGTGCTGACCAAATTTAGGTTGAATAAATTCTAAAGATGATCAGAACAAGGAACATGGCACCAAATAGATTATGAAATCATCAACTTTTAGTTTATGCTCTATCGGGAGACACAGATCTTCTGGATGTGATTAACTAGATAATTATAATCCCACTTTTTAACCCTAGAGTCAGCTAACTGCAAATCAGTTATGTAACACATATGTTACCTCTAAGATTTTATGTAAGTCTGACAAGTATTTATTTATTTGTCTTCATGTTCTAATTTCATCCATTTCCCTTAGACTATTTTTCTGATTTACTTCTAAGGAGTCTCATACTAGGACGAAACAGCTATTCAATTTTTACAGGTTTCGAATGATTGTCTAAACTAGATCGATTCGTAATCTCAGTAAAATTCAACAACTTTCACAGTCCCCAAACTGAACAACATTCTGTACTATCATTTGGATATTTTATTATATTTCTTTGTAATTGTTATTAGTTCTTCCTCATAACATTTAAATTCATATTAAGATTGATCAGTCTACACGATCAAATCCCTGTTATTCTATAAGTAAATTAACTTACCAAGTTAAAAAAATTAACAGGTTAATTTCTATTGATTTTATCAATCGTTTTATTTTTTTCACAGGTATTAGTCTGTCCAATATGCACGAAAAATTATAATTCTGAAACATATTTAGCAAAACATGTGGATCGTCATAAAGAGGCTGCTGCTACGGCTGGTATTGACGGAAATGGTTCAAACACCAATAATAGTAACAATAATAATAACACTAATCGTAATAATAACAACAATAATAATAATGTACGAAACCAAACATGTGTGGATAATCTATTCGCTGCTGGTTTCCATAACCATTCAGTTGCAATGGCTGCCGCTGCTGCGTCAGCACTTAGTCGAGGAAATATGATTGAGTCAGGTTCAAGTTCACATATTGCCGGTAGCCGACATTCACATGGGAGTGGGGGAGCCGGCGGTGGCGGCGGTATTCATTCACATAATCCACACCCTTCTGCTGCTGCTGCCGCCGCTTCAGCGGCTGCGGCGGCCGCTGTCGCTGCAGCTCATGCACATCAAGATTTACATTTACGTGCTGTAGCGGCTGCAGCTGTAGCGAGTGGCAATGGAGTAGTTGGAGTTGGTGTTGGCAATCGCAGTGGTGTTAATGGTGTTAGCCTTGGTAATGGTGATATTGAGAATCCATGCGCTTTTTTTAATCCAAATGTAATATGTTCCAGTGAGACACGAGTGACTAGTTCTAATGAGTGTGATTTATTACATAATAAATTAAATTATAGCTCAATGTCCAGTGCCGGATTATTTCATCATTTACCGGTAGGAGGTGTCCATGATTCAAATGTTGAACATTTGACCGCCGCAGCTGTAATTGAACAACAACAACAACAGTGTCTTGCATCACATCGTCATCAGCAAGGAACACATTTTACTACAGATGATAATCAACATATAAATTCGTTTAATCATTCAAATATCATGAGTAATATATCATCAAATCATCATTCACAATCTCAACAACAATATAATCATCATCATAATCATCCTCAACAACAGCCACAACACCAACAGCATATTCACACGAATCATCGTAATCTTCATTCATCGTCATCATCATCATCATCTTCTTCTTCGTCATCGTCATCTAAACGACAGTCTAATATGAAATCATCTTTATCACCACAATCAAATCATCGTTATACTGAGTCACCAGTAACAAATGATTCACAAACTCAACAACATTTACTTAATTTAACACAACATCATTTGACAACTACAAAACATCTTTGTTCTTCATCGATTGAACCGTCGACAGTTGTGGCATCATCGATGGATTGCTATATTTCAACTAGGACTACTTCAACAACACCACCGAAAAAAATGACAGCAGTGATCAATAGTACTAATACTACTACTACTACTACTTCTACCACTAGTACTACTACTGCTAATACTACTCAACAACATTCACATATTCATGCAACAATGAATAGTAGTAATAGCAGTAGTATCAGTAACAATGGTAATAGTAGTGATGATACCATTCATATCAAACATTCACATAATGAATCAATGTCGTCACAGCTTCTACCACCTCCGGCTCATCAACATTGTTTACAACCGACTCAAACTCATTTGACTGGATCTCATACGTTTGTGGGAGGGATTGATAATAATGGTAGTAACGATAGTAATAATAATGAAAAATTATCGGAAACATCGAATTCTACGATTAATAGTCACTCACATTACCATCATCCTCAACAACTACGTATTGGATTATCACAAACTCATTCCAATCAAACATTACTACATAATCATGTAAATAATAACTATTCATCAGCACCAACATCACCAGGTGTATTCAATTCAGCAGGTGGTGGCTTGTCAACATCATCATCGGATAATATATCAACATTCGAAGAATTTAGTCAAAGTTTAGTGAAACTTGATCATAGAGATTCTATCAGTAAGTGGTTTAATAATGATAGAATTAAAGATATTAATAATAATGTAGTAACTAGGAATAAAAATAACAATAGCAACGATATCAATTATTGTGATGACAATCATGATGATAATGATGGTGCAATGGAGCACATGAATGAAGATAACCATGAATCACTCATTAATGTAATCAACAATGATAATGTTGACACTTCAACAAATAATAATAGTAACAATAGTAGTATTAAGAATGATATTAATACATCTAATCTTATGTATGACTTTTTGTTTCATGGAAATTCAAATATTGATGATAATGAACCAAGTGAAACAATCAATAAATCAAATCACCATATAGAAATTATTGATGCCCATGAGGTTGAACACGAAAAACAGTCCAACACTGCTACCGATTGTGTTTTGAATTATGAAAATCATTTGGGTAAAGCTGAAAAAGTTCTATTCAACGTTGAAGAATCTTCACTCAATGGAGATCAAGTCTGTCAACCTATATCATCATCAGTATCAGGAACAAAATCAATAACAACGGGATCACGATCATCACCAATTTCATCGCAAATTTTAGCACAACGACTAATAACATCTGTGGAGACCAAATCATGTAATGGCAACCTTCATAATGGGATACCGTTATCAAGGTCGTCATCATCATCATCATTATCATCACCAGGAATTGAGCCTATTATAACTGATGATGTGACTTCAATTACATTAAAACATGGACAGTATACTTGTCAATTAACCAGTAACAATAGTGAACGTAATACAATTGATAATGAGTCTATGTTAAATCTTCAACATGAATCATCTAACTTACATGATGTCAATGAAACCGATGATCAAAGTACTATGTCTAATAAATTAAAATCAATCGATATAGAACAATTATTCCCCAGTAATAATGATAATAATAACGACGATATAACTAATTTAGATAACGTTAACATTAATGACAAAATTATCTGTGAGAATTTACAACTGAATAATAACACTGATACAACTCTAATGAATCATCGCTCATTGAAACGTAGTTTATCCTCAAACGACAATTATCAACATCATCGTTTGAAAAATCGTCATCATCAAACAGAAAATCATGATATGGAGAATGGTGATGAATTTTTAACTATATCATCATCATCATTACATCATAAACATAATATTATTAATAGTAGTAATGAGAAGAATACAATGAACATGTTATCATTAACATCATCAGCGAATGTATGTGATGTAGATAATGTTGATCATGATGGTGATGACGATGACGATGATGATGGTGATGGTGAAGATGCAGATAATGAAATTGATGATAAAAATGCTGTTTTTGATGATAATGATAATGTTGACATTAACCAAAAAACTTCTGTTGTAAATAAAACCAATGAAAATAATAACAATGGTAATGTCGGTTGTAATGTTGATGATCATCTACAAGCAATGTATCATTTAAAATCAGAGTTCAATGATCAAACTCCATTTTATTTAGGTGACAAAAGTCAACCAGAAGAAACTATAGATCAGAATTCTTCTTTATCGTCAACAGCTATAGAAAAACAACATTTAGAAACACTGAATTCTAGTAAACGAAGACGTCGACATCAGTACACACCACAACATTTGCCTGTGTTTGAATTGAACACAAAAGATACGATAGAAAAATGTAAAAATAATAATACTAACAGTAATACTACTACCACTGCTACCAATACTATTAGTAATAATATTAGTAGTAAAAATACACATGCTACAGTAATTACAGGCTGTTTTACAAATCGTCGTAATAAAAATGGTCATAGTATTTTAGAAAATGGTGATAGCAAATGTTTGAAGAAAGAAAAACTAAATGATAAACCCAATTCAATAGATAAAGATAATTTTAATAAAGATGATGGTAATCTTAGTAATAATGATACTAATAATAAGTCAACTAATAATCGGGAATGTTATTTTCCTTCTTTTTAAATAACATTTGTTTATTTTTATTGACGTAAAAAAAGAGACTGTACAGTTTGATTGATATATGAGAGTTTCGGTTCTTGGGCATGTTTACTAATTGTTATCTCAATTGAAATTTTAAACATTCTAATATATATATATATATATATATATATATATATATATATATATATATATATATATATATATATATATACGCTGGTTTTGCTTTAGATTACAAAACAGATGACCCCACTTTCCACAAACCCTATACTTTTTTTTACCGTGCTACTCTATTCATTTTTCTTTTATTCAGTAAAATCATCGAATATCCCGGTCATAAATTTGCTTTTTTGATTCGTCTTACAGATTATTATTGTTGTTATTATAAACGTTAATAAAACTTTATGTCATACAAAAAGATACTTAAATAGAACTTTCTTACACATTTCAAAGGATGGGAGTTTTTTTGAGCTAGAGTATACTACTCATTTATGTTTAAGTAGGTCAACGAACTATGTAAAAATATCACTGCTTGTCAGTACATTTGATTGTGATTTGGTTTATCATCAGTTTTAATCCCTATTTTCACATATTCATGCGCATATTTCAGAATTACTAATAAAACAAATGAAAATTAATGGGAATTATTTTTTCATAACCTTGAATAAACAAACAAATTACTACTATTATTGTTCTTATTATTAATATCATCAGATTAATAAGTTTCATCATACCTCATTTCATAAATAATTATTTAACTAATAGTGTAACATATTTTTTGTCCATTTTCATGACATTATGCATACACATTATACCGGTATTTCATTGAACTAACAACCTATGGTATTTTTGTGCACTTCACCAAATTTGAAATATAAATTATTTTTAAAGCAAATATCAGTTTATCCTTTATACATTCAACGGAAATTAGAATTGATTGAAAAGTGAAGAAATGAAAGACATCAAATTATGGTTAACATTTGAGAAGATTAAATGGGTTAAAAAAACTCCAGAACAAAGAATAATAATGAAACTTGACCCTTTCTCTTTTTGCTAAACGATAAATAAAGTATTATTTCAGAGAAAAGATCTATCATATTTTTTTACGATTTATATATATATATATATATATATATATATATATATATATATATCTTAAAAACAGCTTTCAGTTTGCCATTACCTTTGAAAATATGTACACGTATATATGTGTACTCGCGTACTAAGGAAATTTATTTTTGTTTACGGATTACTTTACAATTTACTAAAGGAGTATTAAAATGAAAAGAATACGAATAAGGTTATTTTGTGCTTATTTGAGTTGCTCCACACTCTGCGCACCTTTCACCCACCCCCGATATTTAGTAGTGATTCTATTGACTTTTTTTTCATTTAATATCTCATCATCAGTAGTAGCATTGTCAATATTGTATTTGCCACGATGTGTTTGAATTGTTTCATCACATTTGCATTGTTCTTACGACCCCGTCTTGTTGATAATATTTATCTTCATTGATTGCAGATACATTTACGTATACACATTAAAACATTAAAAGCAATTTAAAGCCATCAGCAATATGTTGAAAATTTTACTTTATGTCATTTTACTATATACAAATCATGTATGTATTATTTTATATCACAAAAACATTGTCCCTCCTCTCTCCATCAATTGCTCATCTGTATGTAGATAAGCGAAAACCAGCCTTGAAATCAAACGATCAATGTAAAAATGCTTATTTCAACCGTCTTGTTTTTCTATTTACTTATAATGAATGTTGTGTTTGAGTAAAACAAGTAGAAAATTGAAAATACATAAAGAATATTTATTAGAATGGTATGATGATATTTTGGCTATAATTACTGTCATTTGTATGATATTGTATTTTGTTAAATTTTAATCTTAATAATATTCATGCAAAGTAATTGACTGTTTTATTGAATTCAATTTTATCACACCTGATCAAAAATACATTTGTATCAGAAGAAGTTTTGGGGATATTGTAGTAATTTTAATAGTTAAGATCATTAGTCCTTGAAAAACCTGGAAGCACTGGACGGCCGTTTTGTCCTATTGTGGGACTGGTCATCAGTGCGCATACACGATCCCAACTCTCAGGATTCGAATCCAGGACCTACATTTATTTAAAGCTTTCTTTTCTTGCCTCTTAATAGGATACTTTGTTTGTGTGTTTCAAGAAAAAAACACGGCTGGGAAATAGGATGATTATTCATAAAGATGTTAGCGCGTGTATTTATGTTAAATCATTTATAGTTGTCCATCATTTAAATCATTACTTACTGATCAGTTAGTTTTTGCTATTTTCAATACAACGGATCCACTTAGCTATGTTAGAAATCTCAAATTATATATTTGTAGATCATCACATATACTGTGCATGAAATGTAATTTTCACATTTATCCTTCAGATCGTTCATTCACTTATCTGTTTGTTTGTCTTTATCGATCAGTACAATTTCTATCTTTTGAACTTCGTTCTATATATTCGCCTGTCTCTGATATTCTTTATCCCATATCCTTCTCACACAAAAATAGTAATCACATGTACGGCTCATAGAAAATGATACATTCTCATTGGCTATATTTCTGGTGAAGTCAAGTTGAAGAAAGTCCAACTTGTTTCATTACTCACCAGTTTTCCTTGTTCTCCCTCCCACTCTCTCTCATTTTCGTTTTATATTGAAGAACCCAGTAACTGAGTAAAATTCATCTATTTCTTTAAAAATAAAATACACGTTAACTTTTATCCAGAACAGAAACATTTAGCCGTTAGATTTAATCAGACGGGAAAATTCTAACTCTCTAGATGAGTAAATATCTTTAGTGGAAATTATATGTTAAAGGATGTTTTTCTAAATAAAATTCATCCGAGTTCATAAAAGAAATAGGTTATAAGAATTACTGTATTATTATTATTATTATTATTATTATTATTATTATTATTATTATTACTATAGTTATTGTCAAATACTTGTTGTACAGACCATTATCTCTACTATCACATTTGTTGTCGCACTTCCTTCCATTGTCGAACAAGAAAAAATATCAGTGAGAGAATGTTACTATCTGTTTGGTTTTCTTCTCTTTTACCCATGGGAGAAAAAATTGCTTCAGTGGATATAAATTCATGTTTTTTCGTCTATTTTGTCAAATTGTTTCCACATATTTTATTTGAGTTCCTTTTTTACACGATTATATGAGTTTTAGTGTTACATTTTGACTACTTACAAGTAGTTAAGACTCATAATCTATAAAAGGGAGATTGAATTGGTAATGAAGACTTAACCATCAAATGTAAAGTTATACACAGAATTTTAGCGATGTTTGAATATATTGACAAGACTACGTGGTTTGAAGTTTGAGACAAACCGACTTTTGTTTGATAGAACACTGAGGTGGTTATAAGATTAAAAATCCATGGACACACCAACCAACGACAAAGTTGTGCACACAAATTGTATGTAAATTCATAAGATGGCTTAGCGGAAGTTTTAATTCTAGAGCTTATGTCTACCAAGAACCAGTTTATTAATACAGGATTAAGCAAAAGAATAGCACTACTGGGACATATAATGTTGTAGATTATCATCGTAGATTATCTGTGCCGAATAATTGGATACCTACTCGAGTTAGACGGAAATGGTTTGAACAACCAGCTAACGTCAAAGTTATACCTCGCAGTTCGCACCTAACATGGATTACCATTCCGTTGTATCCAAGTACTATGGCTGCTTTGATGACCGTACAACACAAACGACGTTATTACGGAAATATATTAATAAGAAAAAGTACATGGAACAAAGTGCGACCAGTGCTGCATGAGTTATTCTATGGCGTACAATTAACCTATGCGCGCTGGCTGTTCTTGACCTTGACGAGGATCAGTGAACCGTTCGAAATTCAGTGATATTTCACTGGCCCTATAATAATAGTAATTAAAAAACAAAATAAAAAATGTAAGGGCTTTCCAATCGAATATATGAGTTACATAATCAATTTACTTTATATTAGATCATAAGATATAAGCATTGTGATAGTCAACAGATTACATCTCAGAGTTCAAGCATTTTATCAGCCTAAATCGGAAGTAATCACAATTATTCAGACTTATCTCACTAAATAACAAGCCTATTATTGTTGTTAACCTGTTTATTCCATCAAAACTGATATCTTGTGTTTTTTCATCCGTGTTGACATCAAACGCTGAAGAGCTAGGTTATTGCAAAGTAAACAGATGTTATGATTATGATTTTACAGAGTTCTACGTTGTAGTTTGTTTCAGACCACTCTGTTGGTCTTTTTGCTATAGTTGTACAACTTTTATTTACACCATTATTTAACATAATTAATAGACTTTCATTTAAAATAAATTTTATGTATAATAACTATTAAGCAATCTTTTGAACATACATCTGGTTAATAGAAAATTTTCCAGTAATATTTGAGGCTACTGAATCAGTACTCACAACACAAGCTGTATGTGTATTTGTGGGAAGGGTAGAGTATAAAATGATCAATTATCTCAAGCTAAAATGCGATAAATTCAGCTACTTTCAAATGGTTGAATATCATCCACTTTTCATTTTCTCTCAATAACAAGAAATAGTAAACTGTAAAATACTTTGATTATTATAAATTCATTTACTAATTCAATAAGACAACTGTTAATAGTTTAAGTTGTGGAGAGATTTTTGAATTTCATTAAAAGCGTAGACCGATTTAGGTTGGATAACCATTGGAAACTCGAATGCGCTAAACAGAATGCAAGATCTTGGATATTCACTGCTAGTGAATCCCATACTAGGATGAAACGTCCATCCAGTGCTTTGAGTTTTCCAATGGTAGTTTACGATTTAAATGAAATAATTGTTTAGTTTACAGATTTCAATTCATATTGATCAGTATTATAGTTAAATTTTTTACAAATTTAATCACTGAAATAGATTATCACGTTTTTTTAATGTTACATAGAGAAGAATAAATCGGTCAACTTATGGATTTATTACCTACTATGTCAGTACAGTACAATAAATGTATACATATATTTCATATTTATTATTCGAGGGTTGTAAAACACCTAGTAAAGTGTTTATCAGATTGTCTGTTGAGATTTTATTCAGAAAAAATATGTTATTATTAAATAAACATG